GGCCTTCTGTCCGTTTGTAGTAGCAAAATGCAGAAATAAATACTGAAATATCAAGGAAATATCAAAAGAATTCAAAAATCTTCAAGAAACTCAACTCTTTTCATATACACTCTACTCTGTACCAACGCAGGCCGCACCGAGCTGCCTATACACCCCAAGTTAGCCGCTGCGCTCCACTGGTTTCTTCTTAAGAATCTTTGATATTTTGCTATTGATCTCCTCATAATTCTTTATTTTCCCCTTTATTTTACATTTAATTCAACCTTTTACCTTCATTTTCTTCTTATTTGCTGCAAGGAACCTTAAAACTGTAACCAGCAGCAACGCCAGGGCCCCCGGCGCCGTACAGCACGCCATCCATACAGAAGATAAGAAAGCTTCAGGATTTAATATTTTAACTATTTATTCATTATGAAATGTTAAGGACTGTCGAGTGCATATGGGCTCAGCTGGGCTCGCACGCCATCAGGTGTACAGACACCCCGATTTATTACCCACAGATAGAGATGAATCGATCAGTAAAAAGTTTAAGAACAAAAGAATCCTCCTCCTAATAGGTCCTCAAAGACACCCCTATGAGGCATAAAGAATGTCTGGCCCCGCCCTCGCAGTTGATGCAACGGCAGCAGAAGCTGCAGCAGCAGAGCTGCTGCTGCTGGAGTTGCAGCTGTAAGACCAGCAGAGCTGCTGCTGCTGCTGCTGCTGCTGCAGCGAACCCTGGGCTCTTCCAAGAGGTTTCAAAAGCCCCTTAAGATACTCACTTTCAGATATCTAATTTGTTGCTAACAGCAGAAAGACTGAAGGACGCAGAGAGACATCTCTTCGTGCCTTCTCCAGGACGGAGCTCCTAGTGAAGTAAGTCTCGCCACTTCTGCTGCTGCTGCTACTCCTGCTGCTGCTGCTGCTGCATATGGCTGCAATTTCGTTCGAGAGGCGCCTCCCACAGAGCAAACGCAACGTCGAATTGCAATCAGACAGAGCCTGTTCTATACCGGCCTCTGAGGTGTACGTACACCTGAAGGCTCTCACTTTCTTCGTAGCTTTGGATACGTTATAGCCTTTTTCCTGCAGCGATCCAACTGACCCCGAGGCTCCTCTTATAGCCCTAGCCCTCGGGTTTAGGGTTGAGGGTTTAGGGTTTAGGGTTAGGGTTTAGGGTTTAGGGTTTAGGGTTTAGGCAACGCACTTGACGGTCTTTCGAGCCCTAACTTTCTCTAGGTATTCAGTCAGAGTTAGCTTCTTCTCAGGCCCATCATACTTGCGTTCATCTTCACCAAAGATAGCCTGGATCTCCTGAGCACGCCCCCCATAAATTAGGGTTTAGGGTTTAGGGTTTTCGAAGGCTGAGGGTTTAGGGTTCAGCATTAGGGTTGGGGCAGAAGGTTTGATCAAGACGAACCCACAAACCCTAAACCCTAACTTGTACTAGATAAACTCTAGACCCCAACCCGTAAACCCTAGACATAAACCCTAGCCCTTAATACCTAAACCCTAAACGTAAACCCTAACCCATAACGCCTAAACCCTAAACCTAAGCCCTATCGCCTAGCAGCGACCCTGTAAGCCTAAGCCCTACCCCGTAAACCCTAAACCCTAAACCCTCACTTGGTCGAGGAGTTCTCTGCCGAAGCGAACGAAGAGAATCTGCAGAGTTTGTTCTACACAAATTTCGCCTGTAAGGTCCTTATCATACATCAGGAACTGCACTACGTGAAAGAAGTTGCGGGGCTCAAGCCCTGAACCAGCAGCAGCAGCAGCAGCAGCATCAACAGCAACAGCAGCAGCAGCATCAACAGCAACAGCAGCAGCAGCAACAGCAACAGCAGCAGCAACCGAAGCTGCTAGAAGGACTAGAAACACTATCCATCAGGAAGAGACCAGAGCGCTTTTAATGAGGAGCCGTATGTTGTCTGGTGGCTCGCCTCCAACGCCGACTAGGGTTTAGGGCTTAGGGTTTAGGGTTTAGGGTCTGAGGGTTTAGGGTTTTCGCGCCCGTAAGATCTGCAGTCCCCCGTTGATAGAGGGTTAAGAACTCAGCCCAACTAATAAACCCGTCAAGGTCTTCGTCTACTTCCCACAGCATCACTTCCACCTCTTGCTGCAGCAGCAACAGCAGCAACAGCAGCAGCAGGAACAGCAGCAGCAGCAGCAGCAGCAACAACAGCAGCAGCGTGCGATGCGTTCCAAGTTTCTGCCAAGATAAATAGGAACCTGTGCCCGTGCACCATGTTGTTGCTGCTGCTGCTCCTGCTGCTGTTGCTGCTGCTGAATCGCTGCAGCAGCTGGACAAGTTTGGTTCAGCAGTCTCTGTGTGGTCTTGCTGCTGCTGCTGCTCTGCGTCGCTTGCACCCTTTGCTGCTGGGCGGAGTTCTCCCGCTGTTGTTGTTTTGTTAATACTAAAGAAAACTCATTTATCTGTCTACTCATCTAAATATCCCTAACTCTATATCCTCCCTACAGTGGCTACAGTGTACATACACCTCCTGCATGCAGGCATGCATGAATGCATGCAGGTCTGACAGGGGTGCTAGATATTCCTTTTACTGCGCATAAATATATAACTATATATATATACATATATAATCCGCATGCACGGTTGCATGCATGCAAGAGGAAGGAACAGAACATGCTTGTTTCTGTTGTGTTGTCTCCAGTGTATGCCTGGGGTAGTGTTGAGTTGGAAGAATAAAGGAAGCCGCGCACGCATCGGTGTACGAGAGGCTGCTGAGGTGTATAGGGAGGTGTACAGACACTGGATGTGGGGTCCTCTGTCGGTTGTCTTTCTGTTGATCTAACACACTGCCTCTTAACTCAAGAACTACATTTGCATGCAGCAGAGTGGACAGAAGAAACCACACAATCATCTGCAGCAGCTACTAAACCTATCCCAGGGGACGATCCCAGGAGTCGATCGTGGAACTCGATCCCAGGAGAGGATCCCAGGAGTCGATCCCACGAGACGATCCCAAGAATCGGTCCCAGGAGTCGATCCCACGAGACGATCCCAAGAATCGATCCCAGGAGTCGATCCCAGGAGACACCGTGGGGCCCCCTTTGCATGCAGGTTAAGAAGACTTGCCCGGGTGGCTTTGTGATGCAGACGGCTGAGGGTTGTAAGGATATCCTGGTGACTTAAACGCCCATCCCCATCAGCGTCTAGAGCTTGAAAAGCCCTCCGTAGAGCCTCCAACTCCACCTGAGTAGGCAGGTCAGGAGGGGGAGGGTTGCTGCTGCTGCTAGGCATTCTCCCCTGCTGCAGCTGCTGCTGCCGTTGCTGCTCCTGCTGCTGCTGCTGCTGCTGCTGGGACGCTCGGCAGAGGCCCTGTCTGTCGCCTCGGGCGTTTGTTAGACTGGACAAAAGCTTAAGAGCCCTCACTACCTTTTAAAATCATTTTAATTAAAATTAAACTATAAATTATAAATTATAAGGCTAATATAATCTATTCTTTAGCTTCTTTCTACGGAGTTTCTTCTAAGTCCTCTTCAGGGGGCTGCCGCGCTCGCAGTCGGGCGGGGGTTGGGGACCCGAGGTAACCGTGTGCTGAATTTTTTTGTAATAAATGCGATAAATTAATTGAAATATAATTTAAAAAGGAGAAAAATACTTTTTTTCTGCCTTTTCATAGACAGGGTTCTGAGGTCTGCACCGGCCGCCCCCGCTGGGGCCCCCACCGCTCATTCGTCTGCGGTATACGTACACCTCAGTGTACAGTCCGTTGCATGCATGCAAGTAAATAATTAATAAAATTTAAGGATTTTGAAACTATCTGCACATCTAACGTCTTAGAAGACAACACAGCGGGCCCCACACCCAGGGTCACCTCTCCGCTCAGCCCCCTGCTGCAGCAGCCAGCAGGGGGGTTGAGCAGCAAATAAGAGAAGTGTGCCGTTGTTGGGTTTTCGTCTTCTGCAAAAGATTCTCCTCTCCTTAAAGTCAGGATATAACAGCAGACAGCGCGTACAGCGGTAGAGCAATTGTGGAGCTGCCTTGTGCGGTGTTGCCGTTGCTGCTCGCGAAGTACTCCTGCTGCTGCAACTCTTGCTGCTGCTGCTGCTGCTGCTGCTACTGATGTTGCTGCTGCAGCTGGTGCCGCTGAAGCTGCTGATACTGTGTAGCTGCTGCCTGTGCTGCAAACACGACTAAGTTGCCAAGCAAGCGCAAGCTGCATATACAGCTTCTCCTCCTCACAAGCTAGCGACAGTCAGCTAGCTGCAGCTAGCCATCGGCGAGCGAGATAGCTAGTTAGATAGCCAGGCGTTGCTGTTAGCCATGAACGAGTTCGCTAGCTGGATAGCTGCTGCAGCAAACGGGGGCCTGGCGGCTGCAGCAACCGTTCCTTTGGGGTTTGCGTTGCTGCTGCTTAGCTGTATCTGTGTCTCCTATCGTTGCTTCTATGTTTGTTGCTGCTCTTCAAGGGTAAGAGGTGCGCATACAGCCCAAGCTTTATAAAAAGCTCGTACTCAGATCTTTTGAGTTGCGCTGCATCGATCCCGGTGTACAGAAACCCTGGTTAGCGAAGACGCATGCATTGCATGCAGTGTATGCATGCACTGTACTCATGCACTGGTTGAGGTGTATATGCAGATAAGACCTCTAGAGACACCTCAATCAACATAAAGAGATGCTGCTACTTTATGTTTTTATTCTTCTCTTCCCCCTCTACCCCTCTTAATGGGCTTCATCCCTCCGGGGTATTCACAAAAAAATCAAAACAAAACCCTAAAAGGCAATTGAACATACAAACTGCATCTCACATGATATGCTGCAGCTGATGCTGCAGATACTGCTGCAGCTGATGCTGCCGCTGCTGCTGCAGTTGATGCTGTAGCTGCTGCTGCGGCTGATGCTGCACTGTAGCTGATGCTGCACTGCTGCTGCTGCAGTTGATGCTGTTGCAGCTGATCCCGCTGCAGCTGCAGCAGCTGCTGCTACTGCAGCTACTGCTGTTCTGCTGCTGCTGCAGTTGATGCTGTGGCAGCTGATCCTGCTGCTGCTGCTG